TCTTTTATACAAGATTCCACTTAGATATAAAATAGTTATTATAACAAATTTCCTCATTAGAGCGCACGAGAATTCATCCTCTCGTCAAATGTTCTTTAAAGATCTTAACAACTTGAAACAAACGCTCGTCAATAACAGATTTCCGTATTTCCTCATAGATCACCATATAAAACATTTTCTTTCTAAGGTAACGAACAGCAACACTGATCATGCAGATAAAAAGAATAACATTAACATTCTCTATAAAAATCAAATGCATGACGACTATAACCAGGATGGATCTGCCCTTAGAAACATTAGAAAGAAATATACAAGTCCCGTCCAAAAAAAACCAAGAAAATTAACTTATCTACTATAAAGAAAAAAACTGCTACACTCATCGTAAACAACAATAAAGTCACATGCAATTTCAAAATTACAGAGAACCAATTTTTACGAATTCACATGTCCATTAAGGAACTGTGTTCCTGATCAATCCAAATTTCTAAAAAATTATATTGGATATACTCAGTGTTTAACAAGAAGACACACGTTACATCTCAGTTCGGTTTCATTTAAATAGGCATACAGACCTACCAAACCCCATCTGCACCATACCTGTTGCTAATACAAATATAGTAGCCTCATCCAGATGTAAAAAAGGCTAAAGATAATGGAAGCATTATTAATAAAAAATAAAGAAAAAGCCAAAAGCCAATAACATCAGCTACCAACACGGTGACAATCTGCTGACCGTATTTGGAAAATAAAATATTCTTATAAATATAGATGCGTACATGAAACAATCCATACATTCAGTTAAAAGTAAAAAAAAATCATCATCCTTGATAACAGGTAAAAGTATCGCCGAAAGCGCAGAATATTCGGACAATTTCTCCACAATTTATGTTCATTAATGAAGAAAATTATAAGTACACAAGAAAAAATTAGATAAAAAATTATAACCGTAGTATTTTTAATGAAACTTGTATATATATATATATATATATATATATATATATATATATATATATATATATATATATGACTGGTACTACTCGTTTTGAAAAACCTCGATTGGCTCAACTTTCAATATAGCAAATTGATGTCCGAGGGAAAATTGGTAATAAAAAAGAAAAGACCAAGAACATATGACTGTACAAATTTTCTTGTCAAGTGCTTGAGCTCCAATTTCAAAGAAAAAAAAAATCCCAAAACGAGTAAAAGACTAAACGTAAAGTGCTCAATACACTAAGTAGAGTAAAATCTAAAATAATCCTAATGAGTCAGGCGAACCTACCCAGGTTTCACCTAAACGGATATTCAGGGTAAAACTGTTTTTTTTTTTGTTTTGTTTTTTTTTTACCCTGAAGATCTTTTTCACGCTAAAGGATCTTTTAGGTGAAACCTAGGTAGGTTTGTTTGGCTCCTTTGTATGTATGTATACCGCTCATATAGGGCTAGTGTTAATAAAACAGTGCTCGCTCTAATACAATAGAGCTATTAAATATATATTAATAAAAATACATATTTTCCCTCGACTCAATCTTCTGAAGATAAAAATAAACTGAAACACCGTAAGTGAAATGCTTCAATCCACCTTTTAATCGTAATGTTCAAACTAATATCGGAAGAATTTTCCTACATTTAATCCATAAGCATTTTAACCATTCACCAACACTAAAAAATGGGTTTTAACAAAATTAAGATCAGATATAGCTGCTTAATAACATCGATAAATCTATATCCCAACATAATAACATTATACTAAACAACTATATTTCTAACAAAGACAACGTATTTCTTTTATAAAAACAAATGCAAGTGCCAAAAAGATATGATGTGTTCCTTAAACGATCAATGTATTACTAATATTTTACACCGATGTTAAATCTTATTTTGGTTCCATTGAAAACCCTTAAAATTTCGTTTCTACCATCATCGAATCTCTTTAGGTAATATAAAATATAAATTCAACACTACTCTCTCTCCAAATATTTCTGGCAATTAAAGAATGATGGTAACTCACGTCCCATCAACTGGGATATTATAGCAAGTGCCAAATCCTACAAAGGGAAAGGAAATAGATGTAACTTATTTCTTGTTGAAAATTTAGTTATCTTAAAACCCTTACATATACCTAGCATATTAAACAAGTGAAATGAACTTATGATTACATCTATGGATACAAATAGATATCTACTTAAACACATTGATCCAGATAATTTTTAATATAAATTGCGGTTCATTTTTAAGGGAAATTACGGTTTGTTTTTGTTTTTTATATAAAAGAGAATAAGTAACCTCTTTTTTTATAATAAAAAAGTGAATATTCACAACACCAAAAATATTTTAAACTTTTTACACTCACTCACACACATATATATATATATATATATATATATATATATATATATATATATATATATATATATATATATATATATATATACTAATCCGGTTTATTTTAGATGCCAAATATAAATTTTAAAATTAAAATACTGTCATCCAAGTATAATATAAAACTAGGCCAATATTGCAATAACAGATATATTTTAAAAATATTAATTACGTAAAGGCTAGTCTACTCAACAACTGAAGATTGTGTGGAGCATAAGACACCGTGTCGCGTTATCGGTAAGCATTATATATATATATATATATATATATATATATATATATATATATATATATATATGACAGCCTGTGTTTAATAATTTCATACCGTATAACTAGATTAGTATGTTGATAGTAATTTCTTAGTCTTGATTGCATTAACTAAAATTTTAACACCGCTACCCCTAACAAATATATATACATAACCTACAAAATAAATATCGCAAAAAGAGGTAAAACTTTAAGAAAATTTTATGCACTCAAGGGTTAATTACGTTTTTATTGCTATTATTATTGAATATATTATGAAATACTTCAGAAAAAGAAAGCCAATGAAATTATTTAAAAAAAAAAAAAGGCAATCAACCTTCAAGTTTTAGGCGTTTCTTCGAACCACAGAAGCTCTACACAAGCTTTTGACATATAGGGTATATATATATATATATATATATATATATATATATATATATATATATGTATGTGTGTGTGTGTGTGTGTGTGTGTGTGTGTGTGTGTGTGTGTGTGTGTGATACATGATAGATTCCTGATGGGTGTAAAATAAAATACACCCTTTGAGTGACTTTTCCTTTTGATCGTTTAAGAGTAACGTTTTTAGATGAAAGAATATATATACCTTCACTTAGTTGATAGCAACAGTGAGAAATTCTCTGCAGTTCAATTGATTACAAATGAAATTCTTTCTGCTTTGCTGACGTGACTATTGGAAAAAAATGTATTAATTAAACGAAAAAGTCAAAGTCATGCAAACGCGCTAAAAGATTAGGTTTGATATCTGAGCAATCGTTTTAAAAAGCCTCGACCTTTTCTATCGGACACGATATGATTGAATATTGACTATCGAGATACGAGGTCAAACAACATGCATACGTACTGCGGAATAATATAAGTAGAAAGAGAGAGGTATATATATATATATATATATATATATATATATATATATATATATATATATATTTATTTATTTTTAAAAAAAGTTTATAACATAAATATGTTATAAAAATCACTACAAAATAGCCATTTTGTTTCAAACCCCCAGTGTCTTATCAAGTGATGATATTGAATGTAAAATAAATGGTTTTAAAAAGTTAAAAGAAAACCATTTTTTAAACATAACATTTATGTTATAAACTTTTTTTTTTTAAATAAATAATTATATCTGCTCTTCTCTGCATTGAGCACTCTTTTTAAGAATAGTAATTGTTGGTGATTGGAATTCATTCCTATACACCAATTATATATATATATATATATATATATATATATATATATATATATATATATATATAAAATGAAATAAAATTTATCTAACTCAAGAAAAGATCAGAACGCTGACGATCACACGCATACTCTATGACAAAAAAAATTGCACCAATGTAAAAATACATATAAATAAAATATCGAGACGTATAAGCAGATATCCCCCTGACGGGTGGACGTAGTAATTCCAGGGGTGGGGGGTCTGTCTACGAAACTCTGGAGTGGGGATGCTGAAGGTAACATCAATCCTCTAATTAACATCTTTTTTACTTATATTAATTCTCTCTCTCTCTCTCTCTCTCTCTCTATCTCTCTATCTATCTATCTATCTATCTATCTATATATATATATATATATATATATATATATATATATATATATATATATATATATATATATATATATACATGCATGTTTCATTAAAAACGACAGACAAGCTTTCTTTTTTGGAGACAAAAACGATAGCACCTACACGAACACAAAAATAGTTAATTGAAAATATTAATCGTAGTACCTTGTTTGTCGTTTTTAATGAAATATGCATAAATGAAGGATTTCTGTCTAAATACAATATATATATATATATATATATATATATATATATATATATATATATATTCGTCCGTAGGGGGTACCTGATACAAGCCGTTATTCAGGGCCCCCTCTACCATAATTTGGCCTTCCCCAGATACAGTGATTCTAAGGGGCAACTCTATACCTGCCTGGGTTACTACAGGTAGCTGCTCATAATTGTCTTCTCCTAGCGATATCTTTACCCCGTCCAAGGTCAGAGTGGCTGGGTGGAAACGGATCTGGGCCTTGTGCTGTTTAAGCCAGTCACTCACCAGAATCAACTCGCCCCACAAGTCAGGTGCCACATACACATTCATGATACCTCTAGTCCTTGCTAATTGAAACGGCAGTCATGTCATGCCCTCTATCCTCATCCTACTGCTATCGGCTTGGCTTATGGATAAATCTACTGGCCTCAACTTTCCCCATCTCCCTAATTGTCTGTAGGTCCTCAAACTAACCAGTGATACTGATGCTCCAGTATCAACCAGGGCCCTAACCTTCCTGCCTCCCAGCAAGTCATTGCAGGTGAGATCCGGCCCCTCCTTCATCAAATGGTACACTCGGGCCTCCCTTCCATCTTTCCTATTCGCCTATCTTTAGGAACAAAGAGAGGCGGGGGTCAGCAACGTGGGTTCCTTATTTCTTCGAGGTCCAATTTCTCGTCTGGGGGCCCTTCTGGCTGGGATAGGGTTTGGATGATAGCGCCCTTCCGGTCTACCCCTCTGTCCCGACATATCATTCCTATCCCGACTGGTTGGTCTTGGGGGATTCCTTTCTCTGTGGGGACAGGTTCGCCTCATGTGGCCTGCGCCCCCACACTGCCAGCATCTTCTCCGCTGACAATCGGCCGAAAATGACCAACCACTCCACACGTCCAATATCTCAGAGGTCTTGCTCGGACTGGGACCACCCTGTCTCCTACTCCTTCACAGGTAACCCAGCGGCGTTTCCCGGGCTCTTTGCTTTCCTGGTGGGTGGTAACAGCACATTACTCGCCACAGGTCATACAGTTGAATCCCAGAAACCCGGGGTCTCCTCCCCAATTGATTGGACAGTCCCGAGCCCTGTGCCCAGCGTATTTACACGTCCAGCCTACTAGCCCATACCGGCCTGGCGTGGACCTATAGAATCCATACCGCAAGTCCCATTCTCGTTTATTCGGATCTGCCTCCAATTCCCAATTTTCCTCTACTTCTTCTTCCGGGTCCCGTGCCCGAACCTGCTCCTTCCTTTTCATTATCTTGATCCCCCTGGGGTCCCTGGCTACACTGCCCCTTATGCTGTCCCAAAGTCGTTTACTGTTGCGAGCCGCTTCAATGGCTGCGGCCAGAGTGCTCGGTCCTTCCTTCAGAACGTCACCCCGCAGCTCCCTATCACTCAACTCATCCATATATACGTCGGCTAACAGGGCCTGTATCGGACCACTGTTTCGGGTCGCCAGCTCCGGGAAAGCCAGTGCTGCTAAGCCCGCTATTCTTTCTTATAGATCCTCCATGGCTTCCTTATCTCCCTGTCGGAGTCTGAACAACTTCCTAACTGCCTCACTGGCGTAATGTTGGACCAGAGCCGACTTCAGCTCTGTCCAATTTCGGGCAGGGTTCTCCCTATATAGCCCTCCGACATATTTAGACACTGGACCGGCCGTTGCTTCGTATGCCAGTAGGACCATCTCCTCGTCCGACAAGCCATACACGACGTGTTTCTTTTGAATCGACAGTATCCATTCCTGCAGCTCTGTTAGGTCGCCCCTAAACGAGGGCAGTCTCAAGCCTCCCATCAGTCTGCGGAACACCATTGTAATTTCGGGAACTCCCGCTTCTCTCTAACGCCCGATCACTTCTACCTTCCTCCTATTCAACAAGAGACAACAGAAAAGGAAAACTCGCCTCACACACCATCGACACTTCAACAGCATGCAATGTTGAAGAAATTGAACACAGCAACTGTACACTGGTAGACTTCCGTGCGACAAGCGAACCGAGGGTCAAAAAGGTGACTTACCTTTCTCTGCTCTTCGTTTTCATGTTCTCTCTTCTTCTTCTATCTTTTTTCTTTTCTTTTCCCGAGCCTTTCCGACCGATAGTTTGTAACTACAGTCTTTTTGGTCGAACTTAGCTTTCAATCCTTTATTTTATTTATTTATTTATTTATTTATTACAAGGAATTGCGCTCCTCTCTCTCTCTCTCTCTCTCTCTCTCTCTCTCTCTCTCTCTGCGTCCCTGGCAAATCCACGGGTCGGAATCCTGGTCACGGCACCAATTCTAACGTAATAAACCCTGCCTGTTGCAGCTATGTCCTGTCTCCCCGGTGGTTCTGGCCGAAAAAGGAATCCACCCGATCCCCACCCCCGGTGAACTGAAAGAACCACCACTATTCGCCACGTTGTGAATTCTTAATCCGAACAGCAGTCTATCGGTCTCCCCAGAACGGTCCGGTAGGAAGGGGAGGAAATAGCTGGGTATTACGCTGAAAGGAAATCACTATTCATGCAAAAAAAAAGGTTTTTGTCGTAGCCACAAAGACATGAAAAAGAAAAAATAAGCAATTCTTTCGGTTCCTGTACAAAGAGCCCTATTTAGGCCACTGTTTTTATGTCACTACCGAAGAATTTACACGAGTACAAAATGTCGTAACGAGGTTCACTCGTTTGGGGTCGGAAGTGACAGAGAGAGAGAGAGAGAGAGAGAGAGAGAGAGTAGGAACATTTCTGTCTAAACAATTTCAGCTGATCTAAGGGAAGTAATTCGGGGATCTTCGTCGGAGCGTGTAATTATAGCAGTTTGGTTTCTAAGCTTTGTTGGCAAAATTAACTGGTTTCATACAGGGTCTGTTTCTATTTCTGGGTTCGGATCGGACCTCTTGTGCGCGTGACAACCAACCAACCGGACCAGCAAATTCCAACAAGCCGTCTTTTCCCCGGTTCTCGATCTGACTAACTCAAGCGTGCGGACAGTTTATATAGAGAAACAATTATTAAGAAAAAAAAAAACAAGAAAAAAAAATTATTTCTGGAATTTCTTCTATCCTTGTGGCTCTCAACAGGTTTTGTGTTTCTGCTCCGCCATCCACCTGCCCAAGCCTAACACGTATGTCATGAGCTGCATTCCCTCTGTCTCTTTTTCACTCTATTCGTCCCGTGAGTATCAGATTATCCAGGCCCTCCTTTCTCATCCGTGTCCCAAAATTTTCATCTGCCTCTTACTTATACTTAAGTTTCCTACGTGTTTGCATCCTCTCCAAGAAAACATCGTTGCTCACATAGTAAATACTAAATACTTCAATTAGCTCAGTGTATGTATAAGGTATGGGAAATGTATCATATAATAAAAGAAAATAGGACACAGGATAGGATGCGCCAGGGTTAGTTTCGCCCAACACCGCAAAGTGCTACAAAACCAAAAGATGAACCTGAAAACCAGAGCCATGTTCTTAAATAGTCTTACGGATCGAATCGTTAATATGGATGGCATATATGACCCCGTTCAGAAATATGCAAAACATTAGTCGTATCCAAACGCTTTCGAAGACCAGTATTTAAAACTAGGATGGCCAGCTCCTTTGATATATATATAAAATGGCGAAGGTGTCGTTTTCGACGCCTTACGATTGTTTTTTAATATTTGGCATGAAAAATAATCATATATGTTTAATGAAATTACTCGTATGTTTGCAATACATAGTTTATTAAAGAATATTACTATTACACAACATTAGACATCATTTTGAAGTAGGCTATAACATTCTTTCTACTATCCTGTAGGACCAATTATTTAGCAATATCTTAGATTCCACAATCTTTACACGTTACTAACAGTACCCTAGTTTCATCCTTTGCACATTTGCCACAAGTAGGTTTATTGCATACTTGGCAAACTGTAATCGTAGCATTTGAACATTTTCTACCACGACACTTGCGACGTTTCTTAGGTTCTGGACAGCTTGTGGAGGGCACCTCTGCAGGAATCGTTAAGCTTCGCTTCTGAACATAAGCGTGCCTAAGACACTCAATGAGCTCCAAAATGAAATCCTTCCTACTAATTGATCTCCGTGATGGAAGTTTGTATATAATCTATGTATTTATAACTGCCATATCCAGTATATTACAAACGACTTCAAGAGGCCAACGTCTTGTAGCACAACGTGGACTGTACTTTCGGAGCATTTGGTCGACTACGTCTACTCCTACTTTATTAGCATTATAGAAATCAATGACTGCTGGTTTCTTCTTCTCACCTTCCTTAATTGTTGGAGAACTATGCATTGTTGATAAGAGGCACACATTTTTATTAGCCTTGCATTGATAATTAACAAACATGCATTCACTTTCATCTTGAAAATAAAATTTGGATTCACACTTTTCCCCCTTTTCTTGTAAAGTCATTTCTTTCGACAGATGCTTGCTGTTTCCTCTCACACTACAGACAATTGAAGTGGTTCTATCTCGCAGTTTCCTTGCAACTTCATAAGATGTAAAAAAAAAAGTTATCTGTTGTTACATTATAGCCTTTGTACTTCACTACTTCAGTAAGGCTGAGCACAACATTTTCCGCTAAGGGAACCCATAATCTTGATTCCTTTTCCATGGCTCCTAAGCAGGGGATCAAATTTACAATGTATTTGTTTTCTACCTCTGTAAGGACCCAAAATTACATTTCAAACTTATCAGGTTTATTTGGCATAAATACAATGAATGGGCACCTGTTTTTCATGGGCAATAGCTGTTCGTCAATTGTCAAACTATATGTTGGTATATAGGCACCTTTGCAATTTTCAACAAATAGGTCAAAGATTTCTCTGATGTGACTAAATCTGTCACTTTTGGTCCACTCTGACCTTGTGCTTCTGTTGTCAAACCTAATAAATCTTTTTATTTTCTTGTAATCATTTCTAGACATGGTTTCTCCGAATATTTTTGGTCCATAGGTTTTATTCCACAAAACATCTGCGCTGTGAACTTTTCCGTACACTTCCCTTGCATATGTCAAAGCAATGTAAGCCTCCAGCATTTCTAAGGATAACACAAAACTTTTATCATGATTTTTCCCTTCATTGGTTGTGCATTTATGAATTTTTCGTAGCATAGTTTCATCAATAAAGATTCTCTAAGCAGAATATGGGGATTCTGCAGCTACATTTTTCATAGTTTTTGAAATATCAGGAGTACCTTTCAATACCTGACTTTGGTTATATTTTCCTCTCCAGGATGATGATAGAGGTTCCCAAGCAATCCCATGCCGTGTTATGATAGTATTTCTATCTGCAGAGGTGCTTGCTTGTATATCTGAAGAGGTACTTGTTTGTCTAGTGGATGCATTTTCACCATCTTGAGAGTCATCAGAATCTGACGAGCTTGAAGAAAATTCTTTTTGCGGTAAAAATTCCTTGGCACAATCATCACTTGAAACTTCATCTTATGATTGTAAGAGAATGTTCAATGCTTCTTCTGCGGTATAGACATCTTTATTTCCATTACGCCGTGAAGCAGCCATCTCTAATATATTCAATATTAAAGTCCAGGAATAACAAGGCGGAAAAGAAATTCACAAATTTTAGTATACTTCATACTGAAAGAAATTGATTATATATATATATATATATATATATATATATATATATATATATATATATATATATATAAAACTAATAATATATTTAAAACTAAAATAATCCGGAACATAAAAAAATATGTACATATTTCTTAAAATCTGTTGTATTTATATAGGAGGTGCGCTCAATATTGAATACAGTGTATGTATATATATTGACAGTGTTTACATAAGAATCAGCACTACAGAGTAACTGTTAAATTAATGGCTCAAGTTATCTTCCGGTCATATGCCACTACTTCATATAGGGCTCTATATATAGGCCACTGGATAATTAAGGAATGTAGAAGAATGAAGAAGGCGGTTTTTCTAGGGTGTGGCTGATAATTCCGTTTATAGTCATGTCCATTAGTCCTTTCAAGTGGGTATATTTCTCGTTTGTGTAAATCTTTCTTTGATTCAAATTTTTTGTCTTTAAAAACTTTACTAGATTACAGTTATCGGATTTTACTTAGTCTTTTAGGTCATGGTATGGTTGCAGGTAACATTTTGATTAGAAATTAAATTCGTGACTTCACTAACTTTATATATATATATATATATATATATATATATATATATATATATACACACACATGCAAGCTTATATATATATATATATATATATATATATATATATATATATACAAAGCTTATATATATATATATCAGCTTGCATGTATATAATTTTTAATCTTTCACACTATGTAAGGTAATTAAGCCACTAAGACACAAGAAAAGAAAAAACATTATGAAAGAACAATAAAAGAAAGGATTAAAAAGGTAGTAGATAACCAACGTTGCATAATAATTGTTTGAAAAGCCAGAAGCAGGAAGAGAGTTCTACATGCGAGAAGTGCGAGAAAAAACATTTAGCATATAAATTACGGTTACATCTAGCCAATTCAACTATAAAATGATGAAACATAATTGCCAAACTAGTACTGCGCTTAAATTCATAAAGTATATGTACCATAAAGCAGAGTTCGTATTTTTTAGATTTTAAGAATTTGGAGCGGGGAGATAATAATAGTTTAATGATACAAGTCTTACTAATTAACCCATAGTAGGGAGGAGGAGAAGAGATTGATTCATATCTTTTCCAGTGGTATTTGCACGTAAGGGATAATGACGGGAATTTGAATTCGGCGTTCCGATTAACAATTCCGAGTCATTATCCATTACCCCATAAAAATAAAAAGAATAATATTTTGGGAGTTGAAGATATATGTGAATGTTTTTGTACATTTGTTCTTCTTTGTATATATTATTTAATATTCTTTTCCATATATTTATATTTGTTTTAAATTTTAATTATTTTTTTCTTTTTCTTTTACTTTTTTTTAAACAAGCCCTTAAGTAATATTCACTCTACCACTATTATAAAAATATATATATTATATATATAATAAAAAGGCTTAAACACTAATATTCCATGGTCATAATTTGTCAAATTTTCTTGATTACACAGCGGCCCTTTTATAAATGCCCTTCGGTTTTAGTTTCGCCCACCCCATTTTTCTTTTCTTTTCCTCTCCCCCTCTCATGTTTTGATCTTTAAGTTTAAATCGTCTATTGTGTGTGTATCTCACCACAAAATGTATCCTTAACGTATTAGACATCTGAGTATATTCATATTTCTCTCACTTAAACAGTCTTTG